GGGTCCCGGCCCACGCACCCTTCTGGGAGGCGGCAGAGAGGTCAGGCCGGGCCGTTGTCGGCCGCCGCGAGGCTGGCTCAGCGACCCCGGGCGCGCCCGCGGACTGGTCCCTAGAAGTGATCTCGGAAGATGAAAACGAAACGACTTTGTTTCGCTTTCCTTCCCTACCCTTCCCCGGGAGTTTACGAAACTCGAAAGACTTCATCCGTAGATCCACGTCCTACGTCTAAGGTTCACGGGCACACACTGCAATGTGGGTCTATGTATGCTTTGTAAACACAACTCTTGTGGTTCATCCCGGACGTTGGAAGAGGAGGTAACCGATCCTCTTATTCTCAGTGGGCCAAAAAATCCCTCCGTCTACTCACCAAAGGTAGTTTGAGGCCACTTTGGACTTTCGCTCACTTGTCACAAGATTGGAAAGTGAATGCGATAAAACATGTTTTGAAGGTGAACGGAGCATTCTCAAGGGACGCTTCTGTGGACTCAGTTGAGGGTGGAGGTTCTGGGATAAAGCCGATGAAACCTCCACACTTTCTTAGATTCATAGTTACAGGGAGGGTATTAACTCCTTTTTATTTCACCACTCCTGCCCTCTTTAAGGGACACTGCAGAACTGACACATGTATCTTTTCCTCTTACCATTTTACTTCGGAGTACACTCGGAGATACCACTATAGTCTGTACTCTTCCTGACATTTCTGCTTTTATGTAACAAGTGAAAAGAAAGTATTGAGAGAGGGAGAGAGACAACATTATTCAAGGAGTGAAGAAGAAGCAAGAATGTGGCTCCTTTTCCATACCTTCTCCTCCCTAAAGAAAAGAAACAAGGGATCCAGTTCTGCATTGTTTTCACTTTATCTAATTGTTTTTGGAGTTCATTTTTAATATTTTATTCTTTAGGTTGGAACACATGAATTTTTTTTTAAAGCATTCTAACCCCTTCAGCTCTTCTGCCTAAAAGAGTAACCAATTCTACATCTTAAAGTGTTTTTTTTCTCCAAGATGATGATTATAGAAGAATTAAGAAGCCCTCATATGTCTTGCTCCCTCGTAGTAAACAATTGGAGACATGCAACCATGCTTCATTAAAAGCAAAACACTGCTGACCTCAAAACACAACCACCACCTCTCACAGCTTCCACTTCCCTTCCACTTCTGACTGCTGCCTTATTCAAAATGGGAGTGTTTGGAATGATTTCCTGGCAGTATCCATCGTGGTTACTGGGCCTTCTAAAGAATGCCTTGTTGTATATTAGTCTTTCAATCCCTTTTTGAGAAGGAGATCCTCAGTGCAAGTAAGAGACATCCCCAAAGTAAAGTTGGACAAACATAGGACGTATTTTCTCATCATTGGTATTTTTCTAGAGGAAATTACAGCAGACATTAGAAGTCTTAAAAAAATGCCACAATCATCTTAGTTTCTTTTTTTTTTAAGTAGGCTAAGAGAGCATCATTATTTTATATTTGAAAAAATTAAGATTGAGTGTTTATTGGCTTGGCAGGTTGACACAGTGCAGTTTGGAACATGTCCCGATTTTTCTGGATCACATTTATTAAAACTCTTAAGGAACTTTAATACCCCTCCCTTAATCATTTTATTTTACTGTGAAATCTCATTAATACATTCTCAATGTATAACTTATAATTATTAATTAGCATTTGGGTCATTTCAGGATTTAAAAGTTTGAAATAAGTTAGGCATTTGAAATAATTTAAAATAATTTATAATATAGGTCTGAAACAAATAGCTTAATTCATTATTTAATATTAATCAAAAGTTGTATTTTAGTACATAAAATGCCTTATAATTTTGGCTTCTCAAAATTGTCCATACCTCCTAACCCTTTTACTCCCAAAACAAAGAGGCTATATTTCTAGTTAAAAGAAAACAAAGACATTGTTTATCTTTAAAGTTGGAAGCTGACTTTACCGTATCTAATTACACTTTCAGTATTATAAGAGCTTTTCATTCTTTTTGTTTTCCTTTTTTCTCGAAACACAAGATAGATGATAACTTTAATAGCCAACATCTACTCCATTAAATACGTTGATTTTGTTTATGTAGAAATATCTAACTAGAAGGTGTCAAAGATGCAGTGGATGAGATGTAGATTTTGTTACTATTTAATATTAGTAGGTATCTTCTCTCAGCCTCAGTTTTCTCTTGATCTTGTGAGGCTGATGAGAAAACAGGAAGATCTCCTCACAACTAAGTAGCACTTAGTTGCCACTTGGCAAACATTAGATTTAACCCGAATCCCTGTATTTTTCACTGAAAATATATTGACCAAATGATTGTTGAATTTGAAGCACTTTATAAACTGGACAATATTTGTTGATTATTAGAGTATCATCTTAGTTTCTCTAAAACAAGACTTGACTTGCAGATAGTCATTAACTTAGTATATAGGCTCTGTACTAATCTGGGAGACAATAGTTTACAATGAAAATTGGATCATGTTAAAGTCTCTTAAAGCAAGTTATTGATTTTTATTACTACTAAATGTTTATTGAACTGTTACTGTTTATGAGGTGCTGTAGGCACCATCTTGATTGTATGGAATAGGAAGAAGCTTAAAATACAATTCTTATACTCAAGGCACTCACAGAAATTTCCACAATGGTGAACATTTTCTATATCCGTGCTGTTCAGTATGGTAGCCACAAGACATAGTAGCTGTTGAGCACTTGAAATATGCCTAATGCGAATGAGGGACTGAATTTTAAATTTTATTTAATTTTAACCGATTTGTACATAATGGCCACATGTGTCCAATGATACTGTATTGCACAATGCAGGTCTGTATGGAGGCCTAACAGCTGCCTGCATAAACTGTAAATTAATCTTGCAAAGCAGTTTCTGGTAAGAGCTGGATTAATAGGATAGTGAGCAAGTGCTATGGGACGCAAAAAGGAGGCTGGTATGTGTAGACTAGGGTCCTTAGCGAAGGTGAGTTTTAAACTCAGCATTGAAGTCTAGGTAGGATTAATAGTCTTAGGAAGCTAAGGACCTCTATAGGGAACAGTGAATTGAGTGGTAAAATGTGATTGAGAAGATGCACTAGGGCCAGATTATGGAAATCCTTGACTGTCTCTTAATTTCTTTCATCCCATTCATACATTCAGCAAATGAGCATGTCTGTTTGACAGGCATGGTGCTAGGCTCTGGGTATACAGGGTTAAGAGTTGTGTAGTTTGGTGAACAAACCAGATGTGGTCTCTGTCCTAATGGAACTTTAAATGAATAAATACACAGATTATGAAAAGAGCTGGAAAGGGTAAGAAGCATACTTTGAAAGAATAATAACAGGGAGGCCTAATTTAGATTAGCAAGCCAAGATAGTTCTTTCTGAGGAAATAACATTTATATTGAGACATTTGGGATGAAGAAAAGTGTGGCTCAAGGAAATATATTTCTGAGGCAGCGGGTGCGCACCAATGACAAGTTTTGAGTGAGGAAGTAATAATGAATGGCAGTTTTAGATTGCCTGCAAGTTGAACTGAAGACTAGGAAACCATAGAGTCTGTTGGGCTTCTTAAACTTGATTTTTATTTATTTATTTATTTAAGCAATAGTGTAGTTGTACAAATTTGAGTTAAGAGTTGGTACTGGATTTTAATTTTGGCTTGTCATTTACTAGCTGGTAGACTTAGAATGCTTTCTTCAACTATAAAATGGGGTCAAATTCCTACTTTATAAGATTACTCTGCAGAATACATGAAGCAGTATATGTAAAACCTAACACAGTGCGTGACAATATAATAAACAATAAACAGTGATAATTTGTGTAGCTGTACTCTAAGGTCAGTAATGTAATTTCAGGGATACACAAAGTTGGTAGTCTTTAGAATGAATTAGAAAGCCTATGAGATTTCTGAAATATCTTAATCACCATTAAAGTTTTAATGATCAATATGCAAGGGTCAGTTCCTTTAGATACTTAACTAATTTTCCTTTTTGGTTATACTGGAAAGAATTTCAGTTTTGGGGATATGGGGAGCAAACCCGAAATAACCGCTATTATATTTAAAAGATTTTTACTGTTTCCTGAATCCTTGGACTGTTCTGTCCAATTGCTCCACATTACAGAGTTCATTAGTATTTGGGAACCATCCATTCCTTCCAGAAGGGAAGCTGGTTGGCACAACTTTTGGGAGTAATGAGTCTGTTCTAATTGAGGTTTCTGAAAGATGCAGTCAAGAGAAGCTGTCTAAACATGAGGAACAAAGTCTATATCAGTGTCACACGAACCTTGAACTTCATCTGGAAGCCGGTGGATCCCCATTGTGAAGTGAGGCACTCAAAGAGATGTATCACGCTGTGTGTGATCTTAAGTAAATGTGCTGGTTCATTCTGTGTTGCTGTGCCTTTGGAGCACCCTGCAAAGGTGACCTAAAAAGTGAGCATATTTAGAAGTTGATTGCTGTCCCAAACCTTCGTGGCTTTAAAAATCCTATGACATTCTTGGTAATGCTGGTATTTACTTGAGTACCCTGTTAAGTACCAGAAGTTTAAATTGCCAGAAACCTAACAATGTAAAAGAATGAAATTTAGTGGTATAAGAGTTTAGAAGAATTCCTCTTACAATACTGTTTTATAAGAAAATAACTGGAGATATGTTTAATATTTATAGCACATCCATTGCAACCATTAAAAATACCAAAATTATGTAGGAAAGTGTTTAATGTGAATTACTAAGTTTTGTTTTTTTTTTTAGAATTATAGAATATGTTCACTGTATTCCACTTTTGTAAAAATACTTAGGAAAAAAGGACATATATGCAAACATTAATAAGAATAGAGGGATGACAAATGATTTTTGTTTTTTACCCTGAGTTTTCCAGTGTTTCTTGAATATGAAAGTACAAGTTAATTTGACAGAAATCTAAAATGAGTTGGTCCAATTCTGGTTGGTTCTTTACTCTATAGTGTCAAGGGTTTGGGGGTAAGTATTAGGAGGTCCAGATTCTTAACTTAATCACTAGCAAAATGACCGTAGGTAATCCCCTTAAACCTCCTTGGATTTCAGTTTCCTCATCTGATAAAAGAAGAGACTGGAGGAATGAGGTCCTTTCCAATTTTAAAATGATTCTGGAATCCTAAATTGTCTGAAAAAAAGTGGACTATGACCTAAGGGACTAGGCACAGAAGTCTGAAGTCAAACACACTGTTATTGGAAGCTTGCTGACCTACCTATCTTTACAGAGTACATTATTTAAGAAAGCACTGTAACACTATCTAAGGTTACATAACTTGAATAAAGACTTCATATTCTTTGCCTCGGCTTCCCATTATCTGTTAATCCAGAAACCATATTGGCAGACCTAAAGCTCTTAGATGAATTGATGCTAATATGCTTCATCTTTGCCCAGCACTTTTCATTCTTCACCTGGCATTAGTTGGTTTTCATCACAGGCAAGGAAGGTATTATTCCTGTATTTCAGATGAGGATACTGGTGTCAAGTGACTTGCCAAATTCACTTTGACTGTCAGTGGTGGAATGGTCGCTAACTAGAACTCTAGACTTCTGAGCCGAGTGCCTTTGTCTCCACACTCTGCTGTCTCTCTTTTTATGTGTTTTTTCCTACATGAAAGTGGCTGCAAGAGTTCCCAGTAAGAACATTTGAAAGCTGAATGAGATCTAGCCCATTTCCCTTACCAGGGATATAATGTAATTTTTCTATTTTACAATTGAGGAAATTGAGGTTTATAGAGGCCAAAATGATGTGATATATATATTTCCATCTAGTACTTAGACCTGTACTGTTTTCTGTATACTTTATTAGAAGAAAATCAGAGGTAATGTTGTTCTGAAGGATCAAGGAACGGTAACCTTTGAAAACTGTTTTTTGGAGTATTATCACTGAAGTGCAGGGATAATTAGCCTTTCAGTAAGCAGTTACTGAGCACCTGCTTTTCCAAGGCATTCTTGTTTTTTGAAAGAATGGTAGCCAACCAAAGCAATGTGTTTTTTGATCATGCAGATGGTTTTTCCTGTAATTTAGATACCAAATATTAGTTGGGCATTTTAATTCTGGTTTAACTAGTGAGCAAGACAGGTTATCGTGAATTTAAGTTAAAAAAAAAATATTCTCCTCATAAAAACAGACCCAGAAGCCAAGATTCTTTTATTCTTGTTACTATAACATTTATATTGTTGACTTTTGCAGTTTTTGAAGTGTTGTAAGTGACTGGTAGATTTCAGTAAACAGAATTTCCTGAAATAATTACATTGAATATTTTTAAAAAATTAATCTTAGTTTATTTTTAAAATGTTCTTTATATAGTAAAACACAAACAACAGAAATTACCAGAGATTGTCATAAATAGTCAAGTATAGTTAGATGTGGCTAGTTGTCAAAATAGTAAATTAAATAGATTTCTGGTTGACATAAATATAAATACAAAAAACATTTTAGAATACTGGACATTGACCTCAGGTGCTCTCTCAACAGTTCCCCCATTCTTCCTGCACAACTTAATTTATATTACTGGAATGGTGAAGTGATAGCATTTTGTTATGGATATCGACACAACTCCCCAGCAAAACTGTTTAGCTCTTTGAAGTCTGAGACCTAAACTTTACTTTCTTTTTGCATTCTCACAAAGTACCCATACATTGTAGATAATCAGAAAACATATGGTAGTATTGATGTAATATATCAAAACATCTTTGAGTCAACTGAACCAATTGTCAGGACAAAAAACCTTAGGTTCCCAAATCTACTTGAGAGTTAAATTAGCTTGAAAGAATTGTTAGTGACTTGCAACCCCTAGGGTACTCTTGTTTATTGATAAATCTTTGTGTCACTAATGAAGTGATCAGTAGAAAGTAGGTTACCCCTGAGCTATTCAGTTTAGAGTTTTCAGTAGGGTTTTTATTTTAAATCCACAACCTCCTACCAGTTTGTGGTGTTGATCTAACAACAAAAGAGGGTATTTCTTGTAACTTATAATTGAACAAGTTTCCCCATTTTGGGCTCTATCAAACTACTTACTGTATTCTTGACAAGGGAATCCCAGGGACATAATAGTTAATGCCACAAACTTTGAAGACCAATTTTGTATTCTGTTTTTTAAAGACACATTTTCTTTTTTTTTTTAAATTTATTTATTATAAAGATGTGGGGTACAATTCAGGGTTATGTATACAAACATTGATCATGCAGGTACCCTTGTTGAAAGGTATGAAGACACATTTTCAAAATCTGTACAGACACTCAAAGTATTTACATCAGCTATGCTTGTTTTTAAAAGGTTTCATTAATTAAACAAAGGACATTCTATTTGTGAAAGGATGCTTTGTGTAAGCAAGAATTATAGCTTCCTTTATAGTTGAAAGATGTGTGTTTTGCAAAAACATTCTTATGTTTGCTGGCTTACTTACTATGTAAGTCAAATGCCCTGCATATTGTTTATTAAATCTCTGCGTGTAAGATACATTTTCAGCTTCTACGTTGAGGTGGATTGAAGGATAAATGCTATAGATGAAAACGATCAAATACTGAAGTGTATTTTGTGCTTTAACACTTACTAGTTTTTTGTTTTTTTTTTTAATTCAGGAAAGTATAAAGAGGGGGGGGAAGGCCCAAAATCTCACTGGCAGGATAGCTTTTATTAAAAATTTGTATCTGCTCCATATACATTTATTAGCAGGCAAGCATAAACATATTTGTTGACATTTTTAAAAATTAGGACTAATATATACAAGTGATTAGATAATTTAAACTGTGTAAACATAGAGTTCTTCCTCAATACCTTTTTCTCCAAACGTTTCTTATTATCCTTCCAAGAAAAACTTTAATGTGTCCATATGTCTTTTAAAGAAATTATACAGAAGACTTTGTACTGTACACTGTGTTCAGCATTTTGCTTTTTTCCCTCCCATTTAATATGTCTTGGCAACCTTTCCATACCAGCATATGCAGATCTACCTCATTTTTAACAGTTTGATCACTTGGGTGGGCCATATTTATTTTACTAGTCTTATATTGATAAACGTTTAGATTATTTCCAGTTTTGTTGCAACATTGCAGTGAACATTTTATTCATATATTCTGGCATAGGATAGTTTCTGATCAGTTGACTTGCTGGATCAAATTTTGTGTGCATTGAGAATTTGCCATTCAAAGATAAGACCAGTTTTCTGTCAGACAGCATACTGACTTTCCCGTACTCTGGCTACTATTAACACACTGGGTTTTTGTTTTGTTTTGTTCTTTTTTACCAATCCAGTAGGTTAGCTAAATATTTTTAAGGTAGGGAACTATGGGATTTTTAAAATACTTGGTGGGATTAGAAAATTTTTGAAAAGGCTGGTATTCTTATGTTTAATTCTTTTTTATGTTTTACATATTAAGAGATGAAATTGGCCTGATCCCATGTCCTGAAGCTAGATATAATCGGAGTCCCATAGTCCTGGTTGAAAACAAACTTGGTGTGGAGAGCTGGTGTGTCAAGCTCCTTTTACCATATGTTCACAACAAGCTCCTTTTGTACAGAACAAGAAAGCAATGGCTGAACAGAGATGGTAAGTATGAATCATATCTTCTCCCTTTGGCTTTTAGAAGCAACATGGAATATAATGGGAAGAGCCCTTCTCTGGGTTTTGGCATTTCTGGATTCTGGTTCTGACATTTCTGTTCACTGCCTAGTAGATGCTTAACTTCTCTGTCAAGTTAGTAGTTTGGACTCGACCAGTAGTTTTCAAATTTTACATTCACAGTAGTTATATGGAAGTGCCTCAAACTGGATTCCGGGCCACCTCCTGCAACCAGTTCTTTATCTGTTTATGTATTGGGGTCATTTGTAATTTTTATTTGAAGGGAAAAAAAAGTTAGAATGTCACTGAACAGGACTTTGGTCCCTGTAGTCTTAGTCTCTAATTTTTAATCCTTTAGTATTTTACAGGCAAAAGAAATCATTTTTCTAGCAGTGCAAATGAAATGGAGGCGTGATGATGGCATAGTTATATTGTGAACCAACTCAGTGATTCATGAATGTGCCATTGCACTGTGAATTCCAATTGAGCTCTGGCCCTCTGTGTCCTGTTTTGTACTGAAATGAGCAAAAGAAAACTATCCCAGCATTCTTTCCATTCTTCTCAGATAGTTCTTTACTGCATCAGATAATTCCTAATCATTCCACTTGGTCTCTTTTCCTGGTGTTCTGCCATATTAAACCTTTGTGTACACAAATTGTGTTTATCATTTTAAGCTCACCTTAAGTCTCACTTTTCAGGAGAGTACTTATCTAAGACCATGTCCTATACCATTTTTGTAAAGCTTCTTCCCCTTCCCATATACAACAGTACCTTCAAAAAGCCTCAGTATGCCTGGTGGCTGATTTTGAATAAGAACTTTGTTTTCTAGAGAATTTTAATTGCCAGTTTACTAGCCATTACCAAGAGCCTACTCATATCAGAAGCTGTTCTGAGTACTGTGGGGGATACAAAGATGAATAATACATGGTCCCTTTATTCAAGAAGCTTACAGTTGAGTGATAGACAGTCTCTTTGGGGGTGTGAAGAAGAGTGTTGCCAAAAGTATGACATACCGATTTCCTTGAATTTCTCTCAGCACTGTCCTTAACACACTGTCATTATAGGCTAATGGCATCTTTCCCTGTTTAGACCATAGAAAAGGAGTCTGATTTGAAGGTTTAATGAGCAGTGGTTTCTATTTTTATTTCACTCAGTTCATCCTTTGATATATATTTCTTACGTAGCTTAAGTTTATGGCATAAATTTTAATGCATAAGTTTAGACATAAATTTCAAGGTAAGCATATTTATCTGTTGTTAGACCCTCTTTAATTCTCCATTCAGTCACTGTGCTATAGTTTTCAGTAACAATAAGGAAAACGCAATACCATATGAATCCATTGTTATTTGCCAAACAAAGCTATATTGTTTATGTTCTGATGCACAGAAATGGATAATTGAGCCAGTGCATAACTTTAGGGGAGAGGTAGAATGATAATCTTATAAAAAAAAGAAACAGTATGACTTTTAAAAAGTGAAAGGCTAATGATTGCCCGTTTATGAATGCTAGTTCACCCACTTTCTTCCTGTGGACTTTTAAGGTCTTCTCTCCATTTCTCTGTTTCTTGTCCTTCTGGACACTGTACTACAGGCTTTGCTGTGTCTCCTTACCATGTAGTTTTAGTCTTAATAGGCTCTGGAGGACCCACACGGAAGAGCAAATGGTTAAGCTCACTCATTCAAATAGCTGGCATCTAGACTGAGTTCTGATGCAGCTGAGCTTGTGCACAGAAGCAGCTTTTGATTTGACCTAACCTGTATCCTCATGGAAGCAATTTTCAATTTCTTTTCTGGGCAAGGCGGGAGAGCATAGTTTAGTGTGGTGTCACATACCATGCAGGTTGTATATTGTATTATCGGTAAATATAAGGAAGTGAATTTCTGATTTGACAGAAGAAGATACTTGAAAATGCTGACTAATATAAGAGTACTCTGCCAGACTTATGAACTGAAGCAGTTAGAGCACAGTTTCAGAATGTCAGTGTCTGTGTGATTGATCATGCCAGAATCCCAGGCATCTACCTAAGCATGTATTCTGTAACTGGAGGTGAATTTTACTCCTGGGATAGCTTTTTTTTTTCTTCTTAACCAAATTGAATCCATGCTTTCATTAACTTGCTGAATTCCTTCAATGTTTAGAAAGTATCCTTGTTTAGCTAGAGTCTGATATTTTTAAAAGTCTGCCTTAGTAGTTGCCATGTTTGGTTTGGAAGAGGAATGATACTATAATTCTGATTTTTGAGAAATCCATGACAGATGCATAAAACAAGAGGAAAGAAAGACCATAGCACTGAGTCCTGACTGGGCAGAGCTCTCTCCTGTGTTCTTCAAGTGTGTCCTTTTGCCATCTTTTTTTGTTCCTCTCTCTTTCTCACAACCCCCACTTATTCCATAACTGAGCTCTCTCTTTAAAGGCCATTTTCTGCTCTCCATTTCTTTGGCTGACCAGGCCTTCATTGTTTATACTGGACAAATGTTTTTACCTCATAACTGCCTACCTCATTTCCAGGCTCTTTTGTGATCCATGTATAATTGCTAGCAGTTTGATAGATGCTTTTCTGAACTATATTATCTGCTCATCTTACTTCAGGATGCCTGGAGAATCAACGTAGAATTCAGACTCCTTAGCATGGTATTTGGAGACCTTCACAATCTGTTGTCAGCCTATATCACCAACCTTTCTACCCCTTTATATTCAGCATCAGAGGTTGCAGATTCTCAGTACCCCTGAAGATTGTCTACAGATACATTTTGTTTTTGGCTTGTATAATGTGTTAACATTGTTTTAAATTAGATGGATAAATGTTTGAAATCAGGATGAAAATCTGGGTTTCTGTCTTCACTTGAAAAATTAGAAGACTTGGGTGCACAACTTTCTGCATGGCAGACTTACAGCCTACACTTTTCTTAACTGGGCAAGTCTGTTCCAGTTTATCAAAACCTCTTTGTGCTCTTCAGACACCGAGGCAGAGTGTCAGTTGCCACCTCTCATCAGTTTTCCTCTGGTGCTTTTCTGACATTGATTTCAGCCCTAGAAGCATTTGTGTTAGCAACCATTTGATATATGTTTATTCCAGCCACAACCTGCATTGTTGCATCTTTGACTTTGTACTGCCTTACTTCCATGCCTGTGCTGAGGCTCATGTTTAAATGTTGTCATCTTCATGGTAGCTGCCTTTGATGTGGTGCACATGCATGTACAAACTCAACACTGTGAAGACTTTTAGACTGCTGCAGGAAGTAATAATTGCCCTCTGCTTTTATGGGAGTTTTTTATTTGGGTGGCTTGCGTAGTAGTAACACTTGTCACACTGTAGTATAGTTGATTAAACAACCTTTTTCCTTGGCTGAATTGTGAGTTTGTTAGGAATGGATTATGACTGTCTTTTTTCGTTTACTCAGCACCCTTATGTGTTCAACAGACATTTGTCAAATGAGTAACAAAAGTTTGGCAAGCAAAAGTTTTTAGCTTAGTCTAGCTGTTGATTCAGTGACTATGTACTGTAATAAACAAGGCCTCTCTGGTGTTTACTATGCAACTTCACCTGAATTCTCTTTTCTTGTGGCAACCTGAATGTATTTTGGAGGCGATAACCAGTCGAAGTTGATTTTGGATTTACTTCTAGATGCACGAAAACCTTCCTCTTTCAGAGATATTTGTCAAACCCAGTGTCTATTACCAGGTCACTGTTGGCCTTGGGTCATTTCTAGAATGCATTGCAGCAAAGAAAGCATATTCATTTTTCTCTGACTTCTGTTGCATCCTCTTATTCTTTGCTTGTTATAGCTGGAATTTAGCTACTTTCCTATGTATAATGTGCCCTGATTAATTTTCTCCCTATGTGACAATGGGTTACATATATTGTGGTGTGTGTTAAAAAGGAACATTTATTTGATGGCATATGTTCTAGTGTTTGGAGAGAGACTTTAATTTTGAAAGACTAAGGATTTCAGTAGTCATATCTTTTGGGTGAAACTGCAGAAGAAATGGTATATTGTTGATGGAATTGAGAGACAGCAATAGTTATAATCAACTGTTGGTTATACATGTTTATCTTTACATCTTTGGTTCAGTCTTGACCTGCAGAATGCAAAGTATTTGCCGATAGTATGCCAGAGTAGAAAGAGCATCTGCTTTGCAGGATGGCAGACCTGAATTTATATTCAGCTCATCAGCACACTGAAGTCCCTTAGCAGTCACTTGGCAGATAATTTAAACTCTTTCTTCCCATTTTCACACCAAAAGAAGGGAATACTCATCAAGACCTCAGAGGGTTGTTATAAGGATCTAATTCTCTAATTATGTCCCATATTTCTAATCTAGTTACTTCTGCTAGTCTTTACCCATTTCTATCATTCCTCTTTACCCTACTTCTTTTTTTTTTTTTTTTTTTTGAGTTGGAGTCTCATTCTGTCGCCCAGACTGGAGTGCAGTGGCCACTCCTGGCCACCGCAGCCTCAACCTGCTGGGCTCCGGCGATCCTTCCGCCTCAGCCTTCCAAGTAGCTAGAACTACAGGCGCGCGCTACCACGCCCAGCTAATTTTTCGATTTATTGTAGGGATGAGGTCTCGCCAAGTTGCCCAGGCGAGTCTCGAACCCGCAGGCTCAGGCAGTCCACTCACTTCAGCCTCCCAAGGCACGGGATTACAGGCTGAGCCACCGAGCCCGGCTTACCCTACTTCTTGTGTCTGTCTGGAAGGGTCCCATCTGAACTTGAGACATGAATCACAAGATTAAGCCTCTGTCAGAGAGGAAAGAAGGACCTGTGGTTATATGCGTTATTTGACACCACTGATGATTGGTCAGGGTTGTTGATGTTTTAAATTTCAAGGTTCTTAGAAGTCAAAAAGTGTCCCTCTGCTCAGCAGTTACTGCTTAGTCAGTCAAGGAGTTTCTTTTCCTCTCTCTGGAGGCATCCTGTTCTGGTATCATTTGTGGAACTGGACTAGGAGATACAGGCTTTGTAACAGGAATTACTATTCATTGA